AATCCACTAAGGAGTGTTTAAGGACTTTAAAATGATGACATAAGGAGGAAAATGTTTAAAAAACAAAACAAAATAATGATTTCTCACACATACATCCAAGGCAACTCTACATTTTCAAAGCTTTCTACTACAAACATTAACACAGGCATACAGAAGCAACCTAATAGTTCCATCATAATTTCATATATCAGGACTTTTGGAGAGCCAATATATTGTTTGCTCCCAACTTTTGTTTTTCCTATAATCTTGTTTTATAACAAATAAAAGGCCTGGGGACGTAGCTCAGTGGCAGGGTGCTTGCCTAGCACAGAGTAGGACCTGGATTTGATCCACAGCACTACAAAAATAAATAAGAGTGTTGTGTATGGTGGTATACTATGAGACAGGAGTATCATAAGTTTTCCAACTGGGAAACTCAATGAGACCCTATCTCAAAATTTAAGAAAATGAGATCTGGAGATGTAGCTCAGTACAAAGGTTCTCGATTCAATCTCCAATGCCACAGGGGGGGGAATTTTTTTCTTTCCAAAGTGTGTCTCTACAACTTATTTCCTAAATAGTATGTCAGGTATCAGTTTAGCTAATTGATAACTCCTACTTTATTTAAACATCCACAACACTTTAGGGTTGAAGCCCTGATAAACTAATCCAAATCAGTTAAGGGAACCACCTAGGAAATGGGCTTCTTCTTACATATACTCAGATTTTGAAACCCTATTGTCAGGAAATACAAGCAATCCCTGAAACTTTTTCCCCCTGGGTTATCAGAGTCTAAGACAATTGATGACATTACATCGGTCATTCATTTTAGATTCGTGGAGCCCACAAAAATCAATAGTTTTCCATTATCAGGTCCAGCTGGGTCACTAGTCTGTCAATGAGCTGTTACAATTGCTGTACAGGGGTGAGCCTGACCAGTCAATTGCTGCTGACAAGAGGAAAACATGCTGACAGCCACGGGAACAAGTCAGAACACAGATTTGCACTTCAGTCTGCCCTCCAAAGAGACTTAGAGCAAGGCCATTTTCAAGACACAGGGCACACTCCGAGGGAGGCCTCGGGGGCGGAGCTACCACCTCTTGGTTTTATAGCACAAGTGCCTAAGGGCTACTTCTGGTTCCATCCAATCATCTCCTGTAGAGACTATCTATAGTCACTACTTTTGTTTGAAGGCATGTACCAGCTAGGATTGTCTCTAAACAGATACACTTGTACCTAGAGCAAGATTAGATAGATGGGGGAATCCTACTTTTACCACCACCAGCCTAGATGAAACTACATATTTACAGAACATAAAAACTGAAAGAGGAAGAAAATGGGCCCAAGGCATTGAATCTGAACAAATACAGCTACACATGCTATATAAATATTGACTGAGGACAAAAGGTCCTTTGGTGTTGATACATAGGCTGTACACACACACACACACACACACACACACACACACACACATATATCCATGTGAGATATTTAACCAAACTAAGCATACCTCATTGGTGTCTCATCCACAACCTTCAGTCTAATGCAATGGCAGCAGGGGAATCTAAGGTCTAATCTTGCCCTGCCCTCTGGAGGGGTATAGAACTTCAACCTGGACAAGTATTTTAGATGACAAAATAGAGATATGCTTGTCTTGCCTGCTGTGTGACAAAGTTCTCAGGAGATTCAAAATTGGACCAGTTGAGAGTGAGCTCTGTCAAAGTAACGAATTATGTGTGCGCACATGCACCTGTGTTGCTCTCTGGACGCTATCTCTGCAGCAAGAAGTTTGGGAGCAATTGAAAGAAGTCCTGCAGATTTAGTTTTGGTCTAGACTGAAGGCGGTCCTTCATTACTTGAGTACATAAATGATCTCTGAAGACCACCATAAGTGGAACCTGAATTTAGAGGACAGTTCACGAATCTAACTGGGTTTTGTGGCTCTCCTTACTTCACTGAGAAAATGCTAGCAGAGAGGAGGACATCTGGGGTCCTATGTGCCGAGGAACTTTCCAAGTATCATGACTTTGTACAGTGCTTGGGCCGCCTCTTGTTAATTTGATTTTAGACATCAAACTTAAGCACTCAAAAGACAAATATTTTGAATTTGTTTCAATATTATGATTTTTAATGTTCTACTTTTATTAACATCTTTCAAGCATTAAATTATAGCCACCCCCGACCATGCCTCCAGTCTTCAGTTAGAATCATTTGGAAGTCAACATTCACGTTTTGTTCCTTCATCAAAGCTCATAATCTACTGTGTTACTGGAAGCCAACTAGTTTTTTTCAGTATATACCACAAAAAAATCATTTTTTAAATGAGGAAAAAAAAAGTAGTTTTAACAAGAGCAAATTTGCTGGTAATTACATGAACCAGCTTTATGTCTTCCAGCGTACGGGAAGCATGGAATTCATCAGAACTCTCATAGCATTAATTAAAAAGAATTTATGTTTTTTTAATAAAATGCTTCATATTTTAGCTCCTTTATTCCTCCACCAAATGTGATTATGTGGGGGCTGAAGGGAATTCAGGTTAATATGTTGACACACTTAACAATGCAGGGTCATGTTGCACAATACGCTTCACTGGTTGGTTCAGTACACCCCCTGACAGGGCCTAATCATCCCCTGCCCTAAAGGCAGAGGGAAAGAGAGGATTTTAATTACTGCTCTGTATGCAAGTTTGCCAGCATTAAATTGAGACATAATTAGGCTTCTGAATTTTAATAATTGTCCTAGCTAATTGGGCAGACAAGTACGTTATGCAGCATGCCATGATTAGATAATTAGTATTTCCAAATGACAAAATTGGGCTCTTGATTACAAATTCTACATGAAGGGGGAAAAAGGTAGCAAGCAGATCTTTACAAGTCTATTAAGGGAAGTTTAGCGATGTTGGTAATTTAAAGTCCATTAGGAAGCAAGGTTTCATTCTCCGAGCTGGGTGTCTGACACAAGGGCTCTGCGTAAGCCTTGTCCCCAGGGTGCTGTGCTTTTTCTAGGGTCTGCAGCATGTACTTCCTCACTCTTCTCCCTAAGTTTAGCAGCTACCACTAACCTTGGGTAAGAGACTCTTTGGCTAGATGGCAGGTGATAACTCTGAAAAAGAATTTGCAGGATGTGAAAGGTAGAAAAGAATAGAAAGTAATCTACCCATGTCAGGGGTCTAGGTATCCCCAGTGGCTTCCTTTTGCAAACAGCTGTTCTTTTTTATCTTCTCTTGGAATTCACTATTCTTATTTTATCAGCAGCTCCACTAAAAACATTAAATCAAAATCTTAAATTTCAGATATTATGTTATTGGTGTAAAGAGTATGGATATTGGACTGACCTGTATTTGAGGTCATCACTTACTAGGTGTGTAACCTTAGAGAAATTGCTTAATTTAGCTAAGCCTCAGTTTCCTCATTGGCAAAATAAAGAACTTTTCCCATTAAGACTGTTGAAAAGATTAAATAAAATAAGATAATTAAAGTGTAGTGCCTGGCAAGGAGTAAGTGCTCAATAAATATTAGCCATGGATTAAACGCAAATTAAATCAACAACAGCAAAAGGTATAATGTGAAGGTACTGGGTCTGGCTTTGTCATGCCAGTCCTTAGATGAAACAAGGGTTCTCTTTGGTTCTGAGACAGAAACATGGTATCCTCTTCGTGCTGGAGTGGGAGGTGATAGCAACCCATATCCCCAACCAAATTTCCTTTCTTCTCGTTCTTTTTGCATTGGCATTGTGGACATTCCCTACTATGCAAAAGTCTCTAGGGCAGTGCAACTAAGAAGGATGAAGTATAAATTCTGCATCTTACCCCGAAACCTTGTGACACATTTTATTGTGTCACTTTTTTTTAATCACAGAGGTGTGCTTTTTGCTACTAAACTTCTCTCACAGTGAATAATCAGCAAGCTAAGATCTACAGCTATGTTTTCAAACAAAAAGAATGATAATCGGATGCAAAACAAAACAACATATGATTCCTAGGTGGTTTGTGAATGACTATCTGGTGAAAGTTTGTTAGAGGAAACTCAGAAATTTTGGAGGTATGCTCTTGACTACCGAGGATGACTAAGGAAAATAATGTCTATAGGTTTGTCTAGTCAAGGCAGCCTACCAGGCTAAATCAGCACTTCTCAGGAATTTCTTAGAACTTTGTGCCATCTCATTTTTGAATGGGGAAGAGTTCTGGTGGAGATTCCAATTGAAAATACAGTATGCTCTACATAGGAGAACTTTTTATCACCCTGACATAATCTCTAGAGCGCATCTTCACCTGAGGAATACAGAGGAGGGCAACCCCATTAGCCCTCAGGAAGAAAAGACTCAAGATTAAGTGTAGAATGCAAACATTCTGCTAGAAGTTTAGACAAAGAGTAAAAGTTTATTGTTAGAGGAGGGAAAGAAGACAGAGGAGTGAGTGAACCCTGTGCTCACCCTGTATTTGCAGTAAGGAAACCTCTCCTCTTGGGACTTGGGAGTCTCCCTGGTTCTCAGGGCTGCTGCTCCCAGGCCCTCACTGTACTTCCCAATTGCAAAGAAGCAACATCGCCGGGCGGGGAGGTCAACTGTCAAAAGGATTTTCCCTGCCACGCGAAGCTGAAGCCTCTTTCTTTTTTGAAGAAGTGCGTTTATGACTGATCATTCAACACCTTGTTGGGTCTGATTGCAGAAAACACACCTTATAAATATATGATAACCATCCTGTAATAGAGAGTGTGACAATTTACTTCACAGTGCGTTTCAGGCTGCTAATTGATCGTTTCAGTCCAGGGACATTTGGAATAAATTATAGCCATCAAAAGGATATCACAGCTCATTTTGGTGGAATGGTTTCCACGTCACTTCGCGTTCGTCTCCAGGAGAGAGCCAGAGAGCCGAGAGCACCCAGCGGGCTGAGAGGAAGGGAGGGAGGGGCAGAAAAAAGGAGGCCAGTGGGTGGAGCCGTGCCGGTGAGGGCGGGGTCGGCGACGGCGGGCCGGGACTGGGCGGTGTCGGCGAGGGGAGGGAAAGTGGGCGGGGCCTGGGTGGGCGGTGGTGGCGCTCGAGGGCGGCTGCAGGACCGCGGCCGGACGGTAGAGGCCTCCCTTCCGAGGCGGCGGCTCGGACGTCGAGCGCCGGGGCTCTGCTCGCCGGCTCGTCCTTCCCGGCGCGGTCCGGCACGGCCGGGCCCAGCGCGGCCCATACCCGCCTGCTCTCCTCCCCCTGCAGGCGGCAGCGCCCGTTTTCTGAGGTGAGGCTCTCCCTCTGGCCGAAGGCCCTGCTCGGGGCGGGCGCTCGCGCGGGGTCTCCCCTCTCCTCCGCCGGGGCCCGCGGGACAGGCGCGCCCGGCGCTGCTCTCCGCGCCCGCTCTGAGAGCTGCGGCGGGCGAGGC